GAAAGCTAGTTAAAATCTGCAGTTTTTTTTAAATTTATTTTTTATTTTTTTATTTTTTTTTGCTAGGCAGTTGGGGTTAAGTGACTTGCCCAGGGTCACACAGCTAGTAAGTGTCAAATGTCTGGTCTGAGACTGGATTTGAACTCAGGTCCTCCTGACTCCAGGGCCGGTACTCTATCCACTCCGCCACCTAGCTGCCCCTAAATCCACAGTTTTTAAAGCTTCATTTTCCAGCAAAAATATTTTAAAATGAAACTTTACAAAGGCCTTTTTATTAATTTAGTTCCTTATGTAACTGTCATATAAGAATCCTAGATATCATAATTACAGCATTATACCCATCAAATGGCAAATTCTTTACTTTTAGCTTGTTGGCTTGGAGGGCAACTACCCAAGTTGTGAGGCACTTAGCAGCAGTAGGGTGACCAACAAGGAATAGTTCTTGGGTCAAAGTACCTCATGAAGACTGCCTAGGCACAGAGGGCATGCAGTATGTGTTGGATGGGAAGAAAATTCATATTGATAAAATCTCAATGCCTTGAAACTTTGAAGTAATTTAGTGACATGTTGTATACTTTTAAAGGTTTTAACTGATTTTTTTTTGTGGGTCATTGGTGCTCAGTTTGAAAAGTAAAAAGAGTTTCCCATTCCAGGGTTAAGGCATAGGCTATTCCATTCTCTCTATATATAGCTAGTTTGAAATAATGAAAAGAATAAAGATCTAGGTTATCAGTTTTGGCTGTTCCCAATCTACAGTTATGTGACTGATTTTCTTAATACATTTGAAAATGATACTAATGATAGTTTCACACAGTTTCTACAGGGTAGGTGGTATGACTAATACTATTTACTAAAGGGCATTTTGTCTTCCAAAGAATTTCATTCATTTTAGCTTTATACATTTTTGGAGTATGGGACAGTGGAGGGGGGAGGAGTTGGGAAATTCACTGGATAAACATTTGTTATTATGGCCTTTTTTGTTCCATTCAGTGATTCTAAATTTTTTGAAGTTACAATAATCTATCACTATCTATTTGATTTTATGATCTCCATTTCCCCTAGTCCTGACAAAGTATTGTCTGATAAACAGTAAAACAACTTTTATAATGATGGACATGACCAAATCCCAGGTTGCAGGCTAGCTGTGTTTTGTATCAGGGTTTTACTTTAGATAAAGGATCTTATTAAACAGGTATCAGCCATGAAATCTGTGCTCTAAGAAACAAGCTGATTTTGTAGCAAAAGTGAGGGATAAACAGATAGATAGCCTTAGTGCTACAGTGATCCCCACAAAGTACTATAAGGACTGGAGGAAGGTTTCCATCTTGTTAGAGAGGACTTTATGAAAGAGCATCACCTCTTTGCAGCTTTTTCTAGACACTTTCTCTTCCTTTGCCTTGACAGTGTTCTTCCCCCAGTTCTCCTCCTACCTGTCTAACTTACTCTTTTCTATCTCCTTTGTTAACCATCTCCTACCCTGTAAGTGTGGTTGTGGTTCCAAGTTCTATTTTGGGCTCTCTTCTCTTTCTGCCTATGCTTTCTTAGAGCTCTCATTAGCTCCCAGGAGCTAATGTAGATTATCTCTATGTAGATTACTCCCATAGTTAGACATGCAGCCTTAATCATTCACTTGAATTTCAATCATACGTCAACTCTTTACAGGCCATCTTCTGGGTATCCTATAGAGACAGTTCATGTCTGAAAGAGAGTTTACAAACCAAATGGAAATGAGCATTTTCTTTTATGTAGAACAAGTCTCTTATCTACAGCTTGCTTTTCTTTTTAATCACATAGTAAATTCAACATGCAGCTTTCAAAATTGTTCCGATGGCCTTTGATTCCTTTTGGCCTTTTTTTCTGATCCAGAACTTTCTTACTCCTAAATAAGCCACTTCTACAAACTTCCCATTTTTTTCCCCAGTCATCCAGGTTCTTAACTTTGGAACTATCAATGTCTTTTCCCTCTTCCTTGCCCACATTAGTTGTCAGGCACTGTTGATCTTACCTCTACAGTAATTAAAAAAAAAAATTATTCCCTTTTCTCCACTCTCACGGCACCACAGTAATTCAGGTCCTTATTACTTCTCATCTGTAGTACTGAACAGTCTGTTAATTGGTCTCCTGCTTCTAGGCTTTTCCCTCTCCAATCCGTCTTCCACATGGCTGCACAACTAATTTTACTAAGCCACGGGGAGAATGGGTCTGGCCAAGTAACTCCTACTCAAAAACTTTCATTATCTTCCAGTTGCAGGCATGATAAACTAGCGTTGCCTGTGATGAGCACTTAAGGCTCTCCACAATGTGGTTCCTAGCTATCTTTCTTCTCTTATTTCATACTAATCCCCTACATTTCAGCTGGGTTGTACTACTAGCTGTACCCTGCAGACATGGTGATCTATTTCTTGCTTCCATGGATTACTCAAGGCATTCCCCATGGCTGGAATGCAATCTTTCATCTTCATGTCCCAGAATCTTTCTCTTCCTTTAAGGCTCAGCTATAAAGGATGAATGTTTCTGGACCCTTTTAGTTAGTGTCCTCTCCTGTTTAAATTACTCTTGATCTATACATAATTTGTGTATTTTTTCTGCCTCCAGCTTGGCAACTAGGCAGTATAATGGATAGTGCTTGGTCTGGAGTCAAAAAGTCCTTAGTTGAAATGTGTCCTCAGGCACCTACTAGCTGTGTGACCCTGAGCAAGTCTACTGTATCCCTGTCTGCCTCAGAATAATTGCACCTACTTCCCAGGGTTGTTGTGACCATCAAATGAGATAATATTGGTAAAGCACTTAGAAGAGTGTCTGGCACATAGTAGGTGCTTAATAAATTTGTTCCTTCCTTCTCCCTTTAACCCCCTTGGAATGCAGTTTCCTTAATGACAGAAAGCTTTTTCTTTTTTGACTTTGTGGTCCTGGGGCGTTACATACACAAATGTATGTAGAATTGGGTTAAATTGAGAAAGGCTTCACTGGATAAGAAGGCGTACACAGATTATAGTCTGTCCACTGAAGAGATTGTCTATATTAAGAAGAGATCACAAATCCATAGAAGTAGCTTATGTTAATAGTAATATTAATAATGATAATGATACTACCATTAATTCAATTATATAATACTTCAGGGTTTACAAAATGCTTTTCTCACAACAACAATCTTGTGTGAGGCTGGCATTGTAAGTACAATTATTTGCGTTTTACAGATGTGGAAATTGAGGGTCAGAGAAATTAAGCAGCTCATCCAGTATTACTCAAATAGTAAATATTGTAAGTAGAAGGAAGTAGTATTAGCGTAAGAATGCTGGTATGTGAACATGAATCTCCTCTTATCCCAAGTTTACAGTCCTTTCAACATTGACTTTGTAAATCTTTTAAATATTTATTTTAAAATTAAGTTAGTATGGCTTTGAGAATTTTTTTGAAGCCCGTTACCCCTTCCGCTGAAAAATTTGGTGATACCACAGAAACCTGTTACCACACCATTTTTGAGAATCATGCCTCCTACACTGACCACCCCCACACACTGTAGCTCACATAGATAGGAGTAGGAACTTTTTCATAGGTTGTGCCACATTTGAGGTAAAGGATGCTTTGTGACCTAGTGAGATTTTGGAAATGGCATTATTCACTATTCAGCATACTTTCATGCAGGTAGATTAATGAATGACTGGTTAAATTTAGGAGACTATAGACATTATTTATTTTACACAATAGGTGAGTTGTTAAACATTTTCCTATAAATCATGTTTAATTGTAACTAGGAAGCTTGTTATTTAAAGTCTCGTCACATGTAGAAATTAAAAAAATCTCATGCTTAGCGTGAGATGCACCTCAAAGAGATATATGTTTATTAGAAAATTTTTTGCCCCTTTAAAGTCTGAAGTGTGTAATAAATCACCTAGTTGTTAGGTGGCTATTGCCTAATACAGTGCCCCAGTATCCAGCGCATAGTAGGTGCTTTTTAAAATGTTTGCTAAATGGTGGTTTCTATTTTTGTTGTTTGGGGGTTTCTGTATTGGTTTGTGAAATCTCATTATACTTAATGTTTGATTCATTATGATTAACATTAAAACAGGTACATGGATTTTATGTGGATTTAGACCGGTGAGAAGCAGCTTGATACAGTGGGACAAATATTCTCTTTATAGTCAAGGACCTTGAACAATTTTTGTAACCTTTCTGGGCTTCATCTTTCTCATATGTAAAATGAGAATGTGTTGAACAGGGCGTCCTTCAGGGATTCTTCCAGTTCTAAGTCTATAACTTCTTGATATTATGTTTCCATTGTGGAAAAACTTTGAAGGAATGGGATCAACAGTACATTTCTGTGAGTAACATTATTACTCACAATGTTGCCTAGCCAAATATACAGCTTAAAAAGAAAAAAAAAAACTTTGCCATATTTGTGTAACTATCAATCAAGTCAAGTAATCATTATTTTATTATTTTAAAAATACTTAATTTTTATTTTTTCTAAATTACATGTAAACAAAATTTTAAATTTCAGTTTTAATTGAGTTTCAAATTCTCTCCCTCTTTTCCTTCCCTCCCCCCTCCCTGAGAGATATAGATTATGTAGATCAAAAAACCAAGAATAATAAAGAAAGTAAAAAAAAAAAGTATGCTTCAATCTGCATTCAGACTCCATCAGTTCATTCTCTGGAGGTAGATAGCATTTTTCATCAAAAGTCAACAAGTAATTATTAAACACCTACTGTGTTTAACAGAAACTGTACACTGTGTCATTATAACTTTTCAAGTGGCATATTGAAGTTAGAATTTGAAATTGGCATTTTGAAAGAACATTGAAGTTTTAATACCCTGAATAACTAGAATATTAGCATTTATTGGGTAGCATAAGAAAATTGATTTTAGTTACAAATCTTAAAATTCATGCTGAAAAATATGCACAATTTATAATAAAATTCAAATTTCATAGCTGATTAAGAAATAATATAAGAATGTGACCAGACTTTTTATTGTATTTTCATTGTTATGTCTTACAGGATTACAAAGCCATTAACTTTTGCTGACTGTGTTGGGGATGAACTTCCTTTAGGGTGGGAAACTGTTTATGATCAACAAATTGGAATCTATTACATGGACCACATAAATCGTGAGTAGAATAATATGACTTACATTTGTATTTTGCTTATTTTTTCCAAGAAACATAGCACTTAATAAGAATGAAATTTAATATGAAGTTTTTGCAAGATTTTACATGTTGATTTTTAAGAAGTTACCAAGATATAAAAATCACTTATTGAGTAAATCAATCAATATTTCCCAAAATAGCTATCATTGGAAAGAAAAACAATCTGAAGTCTTTTCATATTACTGAACTCACTTAGCATAAAATCTATATATTAATTGTATTGTGCTTGATTTTGCTAAGTATGCAACATAGCATACCAATTCCATTTTAATATCCTCATTTAAAGATTAAATTTGCCATCTACTCTAGAAACTGAAACACATTCTTATAGTGAAATGATAGTTTATTGCAAAAGTGACTCAAAAGTTCCTGGAATAACACTTAATTGTTCACTTTAACTTTGCTTTGCCTAATAGTAATTTCATTTTAACTTATGATGCCAAAAGGTCATGTGTTCTTTGTACAGGGGGCAAATATAGAATGATATCCCCACTCCTTGAATTCTATTATTTTTCCTCTGGAAGCCACAATTAAATCATTGCTACCTTTGCTATTGAAAGTGTGTGATAATAGACTTTCCTATGTCTTCACTCAAAATCTCTCTGATTCTGATTCCCCAGATTACACCTCCTTTCATTGTCCTCTGTTCCCCTCTATTTGTTGTATCCCCCATTAGAATGGGCATCCATTGAGGGCAGAGTCTATTTCTTTAGTCTCGTATCCCAGAACTGGGTGTAGTGTCAGCAAAGGTAGATGCTCAATAAATGCTTGTTCATCCATTTAGTAACTCAGCTGATCCAAAAAGACTACAACTAAAAAGTTTAGTATTGGCTATTTTGACCATTTAAGTTACTTTATTAAACTATTTAGTGACTTTGTTTAACTTTCTATGTGAGCTGTTAACTGCTCACTTGACTTTCAGCCTAATGCAACATTACTGCTTATTCATTCCACCATTTCCACATAGGTTCCACATCCTATTCACCTATTTTTTTTAACGTCCTGTAGTAATTTAAGTAAAGAGGCTGTTTATGCTTGGTCTTATCATGACTCTGCATTCTAACTTTCATTTTTTCATTCACTTCATTCATTCAACAAATATTTTCATGGAACTTCAGAACTGGAAGGTGTTTTGGAGGCATGACTGGCATGTATGACAGTCCATACTTGAAAAGGAATTCCCTTGGCAACATCCCTGTCAGGGATGGTCGTCAGTCCTCTTCCCGAAGATGTGAACTTACTGCTCACTATAGCAGCCCATTGCATTTTAAACAACTTCAGATATTAAGTTTTTTTTTCCTTTTGTCAAGCTGAAATCTGGTACTCTAACTTTTTCAACTCATTGTGTTCATAGACCTTAGGATCATATATTTGGAGGTCATCTAGTCCAACCCCCTCATTTTACCGCTAAAGAAACTGATGATACTCTGAGATCACACAGAGTAATAAATAACAGAGCTGAGATTTGAACCCAGGTTCTCCAACTTCAAATTCTTCACCATAATACACTGTCTCCATTGTGGCAACTCTTAAAATACTTGACGTTTACTCATTGTAAATCTCTCAGCTAATCCTTGTGCCCTGACCATTATGGTAAGCTTCCACCAAATGTACTCAATCCTATTAATACCATATGTAAAATATGAGGTACAAAACTGAATACAATATTCCAGACTTGATTTGACCATGAAAATACAATGGAAGCATCATTTTTCACATTCTAAGTCCTTCATATGATAATCATACAACAATTCAGTTATCATGTCATGTTTGTTATTTGACAGACACCATGGGAAGATAAGACATAGTCCTAGAGTTTCAGGAGTTTTTAATCTAACAATGATATAAATAATGACAGTGTGGAATACTGTCCTAGCAGCCTGTCTTTAGCTTTTCAGGTTCAGAAATTCAATTTTCTGAGTTCACCAATTTGAGCAGGCTCTGGGAACTGATTCAACGTAATCAAATTCATATAATAGTCATTTTATTAATTTACAGTGGAAGCTATGTCTGGCATGTTAACCAGACAATAAACATTTTTGGGGATTAAAAAAAAAGGCAAAAAACAGTGCCTACCTTCAAAGAACACACAATCCAATAAAGGGGAAAAGCAAATAAATAAATGTGGGCAAACAAGTTATAACCAGAATGAATAGGAAATAATTCAATGAAAGGAGGCACTAGAATTAAGAAATTAACAAGAAAGGCTTCCTGTAGAAGGTGGGATTTTAGTTGGAACATACAGGAAGTCAGGGAAGGCAGCAGTTGGAAATGATGAAGGAGAGCATTCCAGGCATGGGGAACAGCCAGAGAAAATACCTATAGCTGAGAGATGGAGTGTCTTGTTTGTGAAATAGCAAGGAAGTCAGTATCACAAGATTAAAGAGTACTTGGCAGGGAGTAAAGTGTAAGAAGATTAGAAAGGCAGGAGAGGGCTAGCTTATGAAGGACTTTGAAGGAGCTCAGTAGGTAGAGCTTGACAATAGATTATAGATAATGGAGGGAGTGATATGATGGAAGAAATGGGATGGAATGGGATTTCTTGAATAAGTGGAAGAGTTATGCTTGGTATGGATAAAGACCACCTCATGTGAGATGGGGGTAAAGGAGGATATAATGGCAGGAGTCAAATGAATTATATGAGATGAGGAAGAGAGAAGAAGAGGGAGATCATAGTGAGTGGGGAGGAGGAGAGGAAGAAGAGAGAAGAAAGAGTTGGCATGGCATGGCAAATGGCCTCAGTATTTTTTGTAAAATATGAGACAAGATTCTCATCTGAGAGAGTGGGGTCAGAGAGATCCCTTGGAGGCTTGAGAAGGGATGAAAAGGTTTAGGAGATGTGCTCTGAATGATAGACTACTGAGTTGCTGAGGGAGGAAGAAAGAATTGCCTAGCAGCAGTGATGTCTCAGTTGAGGTTGTGTAAAATAAATTTGTTAATGGACCCAAAGTGTGTGATTTTTCTCTACCTTCAGCAGCATTTGTGTAGGTGCAGCAATTAAATTTTTCACACCAAATGTTCAAAGGTTTCGGGTTTAGTGGAAGACAAATAATAATTTACTGACAACTGTAATGATATCACCAGGGGAGGGAGGAAATAAGAAATAGGTGCTATTATTATTCTCATTTTATAGTTGAGGAAACTGAGTTAAACATAGGTTAACTTGCCCAGGGGTCATACAGCTAATGTCTGAGGCTGAATTTGATCTTCCTGTTTCTGGGCTCAGTGCTCTATTCACTGCTCCACCTAGCTGCCAAAGATTACCTTATTCTGTGGATGTAAAATCAAGTTGATTGGTCCAAGCATTTAGCCAGATTAGGTACCAGGAACCACCATTTATGCCTTAAATCAGAGAGGCTTACAAAGGAAGATAGTGGCAGAATTTCTTGTATTAAGCAATCTCCGGTGATTGGTGAGAGTGATCTAAGGCTGAGGCTTGACAGGACTCAGTTGGAGATATGATGAAGTGACTGGGGACTAGGAGAAGAGAAAAATGTAGAGCTGAACTGGTTGATCAAGGAGTCAAGATGGGAAGAAGAGGAGAGAATGGTTAGCGCAGAGATGCACCTGGGAGAGAATTAAGGGATTGGAGGTCGTGGTGCCGACAAAGAGCAGAGTAGAGTTTGGTAATGGAAGGCGGAGGGAGAGGTGGAAAACCAATAGGTTATAGTCAGATAAGAGGATTTCAGAATTCTTGAACATGGAGGTAGTATATTTGTGGGTGATGGCAAGATCAAGGATATGACCGTCTTTGTATGTGGCTGAGGTGGGTGGAGGAATTTATCATGAGGAACTGAATGATTGGGGTGTTTGAGGGAGAGTCAGTATGAGTGTTGAAACCCCCTAGTAGGAGGGCAAGGATTGAGGAGGAGAGAAAAATTGTGGACCATGTGCTAAACTCACTGGGGAAGGCAGGCAAGTGATCTGGAGGTTTATAGACAACAACTACCAGGATGTGAATTGAGTGATAAAGATGAATTGCATGAACCTCAAAGGAGGAGAGGTTACTGGGTGTTGGAGTTAGAGGGAGAAACTGAAAGTGGCAATGGGGAACAAGGAATATTCCAATTTCCTTGCCTTGACTAATGAATTGAGGGGAATAAGTAATGGTGCAGCCAGTACTGGAAAATCTGGCCAGGGAGGCTGTGTCACCAGGTTTCAGTAATGGCTGGTAGATGGAAAGGAGTGGAAGAGGAAAAGACTTAGGATGAAGGGAAGTTTGTTACTTATGGAGTAGGTATTCCATAGGACACAGTGGTACTGGATGAATGATGTTTGGACAGAACTTTGGGAGGGCTGGGGAGAAGGGGAATGAGAAATCAGGTAGAGCAGAATGGGGAGTTGGGTTTGGATAATGATCTCTAGGGGTTCAGAATCACTGGGATGTGAAGGAAGTAACTGGGCGTGAGAATGTTCATCATTGGGGAGAAAGCACTACTCCTTTTCTCGGAGAAGGCTGGAGATAGGGTGGGGACAAATGCAACATGAGATGGAAGGGATGTGGTCAGATGGGAATCCCCATTTCACTACTTCCCTTCCTTCCTAAGGCTGGAGATTTGGCAGCAAACGGACTTAGCAGGAGATGAAAGTTGAATGTTCATAGCTGGAAAAGGAAATCCTGTTCCCTATTGACTTTCCTCTTCCTCTTTCATTAAGGAACAGGCTCAGCAAGAGTTGGAAGGCCTGAGGTCAATGAGGAGGTTGATCCTCTTTGCTCTGGAGGTTGTTGGGAGATCAGGCTGTTAGTAGGAGGTGGGAGCTACCTTATGCTGGCTCAGATGGAAATTTAGCCCAGCTAAGTCTCGTCCCCCTCTGAGGGGACACATTCAGCAGGAGATGGAAGAAGGTCTGGCTGATCTTCTCTTCAGAGGCTGGAGATTGAAGCACGAGGCTTGAGAATTGGGACCAATCACTTTAGCAAAGAGCATTTCCACCATGATGAATAAGTCCACTCAGGAGAG